TGCATGTTGGACAATAATTTGTCCATATATGGGCATAATAGTTTAGTATTATATTTATATATGTACATTAAATTAATGCTTCTGAATGGTGTAACCAAGAGGACGTATATATGAGAGGACAAAAATTGGCCCCAAAGCTAGAACCTTTCGGAAACCTCAATGTCAATTGTGACGGGATCGGAAATCACAGATATCACTCGTACTGACTGTGATCTGGAAGTTTAAGGAGAAAGAACGAAGTCCTAGAATTATCTGAAGCCCTGTCCAAGACTATCAAATTTTATTTGACAAACAAACTGTTGTATGTCCATATATAGTCATATGGTCATGATGCGATGTCTTCATGACCATATTTAGGCATATCACATACTTCTATGAAATAAAATTTGATAGGTCAATCAAAAGTTCACTGATATTCTAAATAAACATTAAAAAATTGTCTTAACAATAGTTAAAAAATAGAAGGAAAGTCCATGTGACAACCTGCAAATTGTATTTATAATTTCACCTGACGAAGTTGGCATCGACTGATAGCAAAAGCTTGAGCTGAATGAATTACATCTTAAAAGTTATTCTCAGAGTGGTGCTTCATTATTACCTGTTATTACTATATAGATTTTGGCAGCCTTCTACCAAAATCTGCAAAATTCTTGATACCAGCATCTTGATATGTAGTAGTTTGGTGAAAAATCCAACAAACATGAACCTTTCCAAAGCAGTTGGCTGCTTAAAGATTTTAAGTTAAGACTTTTCCCGTTGCTCCTGGTATCTTGCGAAGGTGTGTCTTAAAATAATACTAAGGTGATTAATAAATTCTCATTACTGTATTGCATGTCATCTTTAAGCTTAATATTACAAAGTTATTAAACTGAATGCTTTTTTAAAAGCAACACACAAAGGATTATCAATTACAGAGAGAAAGTCACCGCACTTAAATATTGTTCAATATTATTACAGTAAGTAGAATACAGAATATGAAATGTCAGAAACGGTTCAGGTTGATTAGCTCAGTAGCGATTGTTCACCATATTTTGTTTATCCTTGTGCCCACAGCGTGACGCAAGTTAGATAATTTCAATAAATCTGATTCTTTCTGAGACATTGGATGCTATTTACGTGCACTTTTAGTGAGGCCATTGATTAACAAAAACAATGTGGTTTTGTGGAGCTTATCAAATCACTTTTCGTGGATCTTGTGAGAGAATAACTTTTATATTCTAACAACCAGTTTCCAGTAACAAAGTTTTTTAATGTGTTTTTGGCTATGATAAATTTTCAATGGTTATGAATTGGTATTCGAATGTGAAACTTAGTTTTGAAAAATTGTTTAAATGTTCGGATTCAGATGATGAAATAAAAAAATTATAATTTTATAATTCTCTTTATTCCAGCAGGGAGACCTTTAAAATATCAATACTTTTAAGTAAATGTAATTAAAAGAATAATTATATTAGGTATTCTTCTTTATAAAAGAATAGTGTCGTTTCTGAGGCTGTGTTTTTCATGTCATTACTGCTTTGAAATGAAAAATTTGATTCATGCTAAATGTGAGTATAGTGTAGATTTCTTGCCTGAGTAGAGTTTCTAAAAAAAGTACAGACATCTTTGTGTTTAAAAAACACTAGGTAAGATAGGACCTATTGTTACTTAATTTTTATGTCATTGAATTCTAAGCTATCTTATGAGATCTTTTGTATTAATTTGTAGTAGGTCCCAAGCTGTTGAACAACTTGCCTTCTTAAAAGAAATCTCTGAAAAGGTTTTTCTTTTATAGTTAGATTAGACTGGATACTTGCACCACTCGAGCTCTTACCCTGTTGACTTTGTGCCTTAAACTGGTGGAAAACAGTAAATTTTTGGGGGTATGTTTTTGTTTTTTCCCATATTAGCTATTTAAGATACTTCTTGGTTTTTAAAGTTTAATTTAAAAACTGTTTTTTGTACCTCTATAGACCGAAAAAGGGTAGATTTCTAAAGTACTGTATGCCTATTGGTTTTGTAATGTATTATTTTCTAGTCAAGTTTTAGGCCCAAACATCGAACACTGGAGATTCTTTCTAGGTCTAAGTTAGATTTTTTTCTGCTTTTTTAATGTGTTTTATCAGTGTTTTTAAAGTTTGTGATGCTGTGTGTTGTTCAATTTTTTCTCTTCTATACTTTTAGATAACAATTTTATCTGTATATATTGTAAACTTGTCGCAATTCAGTATTTTACTGCCAGTTGAAGTTATTAAAGAAATCTGAATCTAAAAATCTGAATCTAAAATAATAAAAGGTCTGACAGCTCTATACTTTTAGAAACGACTTCTTTTATGAAAACTTAAGCTTCAGCTAAATATTGCTACTCATTTCATTACACAAGCATCTTGGTGGCAACATATCACTCCTGTTCTTCTGTTTCTTCACTGGCTTTCCTTCACCAAACGAATCTTCTACAAATATAACTTTTCGTTTAAAGCTCTCTAGGCCCCTTCCTATATTTCTGTTCTTCAGTTATGCTCCCAATCCTGCTGTCATTAACTTAGATCCATCCCTAGCTCTTTCAACCTTTCTATTTGCAAGCTGAAGTCATACGGCGAGCGCTCTTTTAAAGTCACCAATCCAAAACTCTTGCCATCAATACATATGGGAAACTCCATCCTTTAGAGCCAACTTAAAACTCATCTTTTCTCATCCAATTGCTTTACTTTTTTTTTTTTTTTGTTGTTGTTGATGGCTTTTGTTGTTGATTTTTCTCTTTTCTTTTTTTTTCTTTATTTCGTTTGTTTCTTTTATTTAACTTCTATTGGATATATTTTTTTTTAAAAGCATAGAGAGCGGCATTCTTAGTTTGTATTCTTGTGTACTGTATGCTAAGCTTGTACATTGTAAAACGTAGGCTTATCCCCGTGTAAAAGTCGCGGCGCCAGTGAGGGGACAGGGGGGCTTAAGACCTTTACCGTACAGGTCAAGTGTATTCTGAATTACAGTTATTAGAATGCAATATTATTAAATAAAATGTCAAAAAAAAATTATATTGATTTGATGAATAATAAAGTAATTTATTGCCATCTAAACAAATAAGATTTGGACATTAAAATATCAAAACTAGTAGAAATCATTGGCCAGTAATAAAAAGTATGAATTTTACAAAATGTTTTTATATGTTTACAATTTTTTTTTGATCGACAACATTAATGAAATTTCATTATGATCATTGTAGCACGCTATTGACTAAATTTTAGATATTAATAAATATTTAAACATTAGTCAACATTCTGAAAGTTTTTTATTTACACATTATACCTGTCTATTACGGTTCCATCTACTATTAGAAGGATATAATAATCTTAAGTTGATTATGTCATCATTGTATTTTCTACTATATAAACTCAATTATATTGCATTTTTTCCATCTTGTATAATTGACTTCTGTTTGCTGGAAAAAAAAAATTGATTGTGTTTCCAACTGCTCTGAAATTGATTACTAAAAAAACCAATTCAATTTTTTCTCTATCCTTTGCCCTCTCTCTCGCTCTCCTTCTCTCTAGCCTAATTCATCAAGTAGATCAACACGTTCAGTGTTTATCATAAGAATTAAAGGGATAAATATGTTTACGTTAGTATTATTTACACCTTTATTATTATTTCTCACTGTTTTATTGAATTTCTTTATTATTTGCATCAGTGACAGGAAGTATAACATCTGCTGAGTAGTTGTTAGGTCATTTTAAGGTCACTATGTTGTAAAGTCTGCATCAGAAATTCTCTGATTATACATTAATGTAGAACATACATTCACATTTGAGTTTCATGCAACTAGTCATTATAATACATCGAGAACATTTTCTATGTACCACTTTTTCATGTCTGTATGATTAGCCAACAGAAAGAGAGGAAAGTTGTATGCATAATTTCAAAGCAAATATGCAAATTAATAATTTGCATCACAACATAGTAATTACTAATGTAAGGCAGAACAAGTAATGTTTCTGTACCATTAAAATTTATCTAAGAGAAGCCATATAGAATTTTACACACATTTTTTGAAATTATGCAAATTAGTTGTTTGCATATATTATTAATATAATATTAACGAGGAATGGGTAGAACTGTCTACATACTTTATTATTTTAAAGCTCAGTCTGTGTAGACTGTCAACAATTTTATTTGACAAAACACTGTTGTATGCCCATATATAGTCATGATGTGCCTATATATGGTCATGATGTGCCTATATATGGTCATAATGTGCCTATATGCGATGTCATCATGACCGTATTTAGGCAAAATTTGATAGCCTGTCAGTGGACACTAGACTTCATAGAGAAACATGGTGTTCTATATAATGTCTATTATATTATGCAAATTACATACAGTTAATCCCTTAAAAAAAGTAATATAATTAAAGTTCAAAATTATGTGTATGATTTTTTTTTTTAATAACACATAATATATGCTCATTACATTACAGTGTTTTATTTGTTGGTAATTTCTTCTCATTAACCTTTCCACTACATAATTTACTCATATTCCCTTTCATACAGTTTTTTTCAATTTCCGTTGTTAGTCTGCCTCAGGTTATCATTAACCTGTTAACATACCTACACGTTAATGGTTCCAATTCTGTTACCTATACATATTTTTAGCTGTCAAATATTATTTATAACAATTGTTATTCATTTGAAAAATACAAAAAGAATGTTGAATTTGTTTGTATATGGGAGAATATGTTAATGAAAGCTTTAAAAGCATATAATTATGTGTTCATTTGATAGCTAATTTTAGATTGGTAGATATTGGTTGGTTGAAATTCTAAAATATTGACCATTTGCTTTTGTATGGATTAAACGCAACACATCATAACGATCATTTAACATTCGTTTTTTGGTTTTTTTTTCATATATAAACTGAGTGTTTATGTTTTATGTTTTCATTACCTTATTCTGAGGAATTCCCTTTAGCCGGTTTGATTACGTATTGATTTGACCAGAGTATTATGTTTACATTTCTGCTTTCAGCTCAACTTGGCACTGAATTGCATAAGAGGCTAGGCCCGACGATCAGGATGACAGGCGCTGGATCTGGGGTAAGTTTTGGGAAATTCTTGTTTGAAATATCTTTAGATTTAGGTGTTGAAGTATGTTGCTTTGTGCCTGGATTAAATGCAGAAACTTGGTCAGTAATACCATATTTGATTATGGTTCTTTAAGTTAAATCTATAAGGTCATTTAACCTAATATTAATGTAATATGGACATAATATTAAAAATGTTACAGAAGAAAACTTTAGTAACGCTGTATGAACAAATTTATCTACATCAATATCAATAATAGGAGTTATTTCTTCATACTGAAGTTTCTATCATGATTATTATTTTACGTACCTATATATCATCAATAATAATAACATCATACATTTTATTGACCTATTTGACATGCTATAGTCTGGTGATTATATTTTTATGTTTTTGAGTGTTAGTAAAATATTCATTTTAGTTACTATCACTGCAAGTCATTACCTATTTTTCCTTCATTAATTTTTGCTACCATATTGAGTATAAGGCCACCTTGAAAGCAGCTAACTTCGCACATATTATGTCCATACCAGCGTTTTCCCGGGTATAAGCATAGGGTATGATTCTCATACCCTGTCTGAGAATCTCATCTGACTCATCTTTCGATTTGCTATCCTGACAAATGATAGGACATAATTTCATGTTCAAAGGAGGTGGCTTAAACAGAGGAATTACTTTAGAGAATAATGACAATTATAATCAAGTTGAAATATTATGATGATGGTAAATACAGGAGTAGCGCTTTAAGAAAACAATCACATATATTTCTATAAATATTAAATGAATATATGTTATAGTCTGAAAGTGGTGTTGCTGTATTTGTGTAATTACAGAGGAATTTTGCTACTTTGTTCTGGTTCTGGTGGGCAAAGCCAACGAACCTTATATGGACTCTAAAAGTGTAGGAGTATAACATTAGGGGTAGAAATAGAGTCGAATAATAGGGAAGGTCCGCCACCGGCGTTTAAGACATGCACCATTGCTGCAGTCATGAGCAGGCATGCCATATCACCTCAAAGGCCCATGTACTCAGGCCTGATGGGTAGGAAATTTTTAGAGTTTAACTATGGCAATAAATACATTGCAAAAGATGATATTGATAAATATTCAACTTAATGATGATTAAGTCATCATCATCAAATAACAATAATGTAGAATTAATGATTCAGATGTCTTTCACAAACATTTGCAATAAAATGTTCTTGCAAATCAGTCCAAAATTTCATCAAACTGAGAGTGCTGTATATGTAGTGAGCCCTCTGTAGTTGATTGATGGATTAATGTTTTCCATTTGGGTGTGGCAGGTTGTCCAGCCGGTAAGTACTGAAGAATAATAGCATAGCCTACCATGCGATGGGCTTTCAAGGAATAAGTTATTAATAAGAATACATTAGGGTTGTTTACTTGATGCAGATGGCCGTTGATTGAGATGAACTATAATTTAGGCAGCCTTGTAAATGGCTTTATGTATTGTTAGGTGCATGTAAACTTGTTATTTTTACCTCTATTGATAACAGCTCATTTGCAAAATGCGAACTTGTATTAGGATTATAACCCTTTATATTACAATCAGTTAATAATGGGTACTGTATTATGACAATTTCTGTCGATGCAGTGTTTCTTTTTTTTTAACACCTCGCTCCTCATAGCTACTTGGCAGCTTATACGCTAGTGTGTAAGACTAGCATAATGCTTTTGATTACTTTTTACAAAGAATTCTCATTATAAACGGTTTTATGACAATGTTTTTCAGAAATATTGCGCCAATTATCCAATTGTTGTAATATCAATAATAGGGGAATTATACTGTACATCGAATGCTTTGTAAGAATTTTAGTATGATTACTCAGTAATATTTTTTCTATTGATTTGGATTTGTTTTACGTCTAATACTGTGCAAATAGAAAATATTACAATTCTTTTTTTATGGTTCATTTCATGATCCTAATGGTCCTGTTATAGTAATAGTTCTTTGTTTGGTTGAATTATTTTATTGTACCTTTATGAATGTCTTTAGATGAGGTAATGGAAATGCTAGTATAGGTATACCTAAAATCATTATGCATATCTATTAAATCTCTAATATGTATTAGAAGATTTATTTTTTATTTTCAGTCTTCTGTGAAGAAGGCGATTCTAATACAGAATACAACAAATAATTTTAATGCTAGAGAGATAAATTTTATATTTGTAGTAAATAATTTTTTTTGGAAAATATATTTTTATTCCCATTATAATAATGATATGTTTATAATTTTTAATATTCATTCAATTAAACGTAAGTTTTAATATAGCTTTTCTCCCCTCTCTCTTTCTGGACCAAACTAAGAGTTTAATATTTTATGTACATTGTAAATGTACTACAGTAATATATACTATGCTGTTGAAATATTAAAGTAAAATAATACTTAGAAAATGCATGAAATAATTTGTAGTATTATTTATCACACTCACAATTAAGGACACAAAACAAAACTTGATGAGAATAAAACAACAATGAGGATAAAAAAACAGAATGATAAATTAATATAAAATTAATTATAATTTTAATTAAACTTGAATTAATCAACATCAGTTAGAATATGGTCATGTGTTAGGTTATGCAATCAAATATAATTTGTCAAAATATAGACATTGTGAATTGATGAAACCGTTGCATCATTAGAAATTTTGCATTTACAATATTTTAAAAATTGTATTAAGATATTTGAAAAGTATTGATTTGAAAAGTATTGATTTTCTTGAAATGTATCCTCGTGGAATATACATGATGTGACCTTCAGGTTCAGGGTAAACTACGACAAATTTATCTCAATAATTCAAAGATGTCAGCTGCCCCTTTGAGAAACTGACCAATTGCATCCGTCCCATTCACCTTCATCGTGTTTTCTATTTTTATTGCAAATTATAAAATGATGGAGTAGTTGAAATGCTTTGAACTTATTGTGACGTCATTTAGATGACCTTTGTGAATGTTAGAAGTGTTCTCTGATAAGACTCCTGTTTAATGGCTAACTAGCAGGAGCATTTGTCACTCCATGTTAAATAACGCCAGCATGTTTTCATGCAAATGTTTCAAGATGTGTTTTCTCTCAGAGGTTATTGGCGGACAGATGTCATAGGGGAAAGTTCAGGTAATTGAAAATATCTCAAGCTTTATAGTTAATATCTGATTTACTAAATGTACCCATAATGCAATTGATGGCCAAACATGACGGCAAATTGTTCATCGGTTGCTAAAATTCATATGAGTACAATTATTATCATTACTCATTCCCATTGTGATTCGACAGACTCAAGGTTAACTTTAATGTAAAAAAAATCACACATACATTTAAAATAACTTTGTGCATTCTAAATACAGATAGACCAAAAATGCTGCATCGAATCATTAAAGCGTCAGTCTAAACTGAAAAATTTAGGTTCTCTCATAACCAATTCACTTTGAAAAAAAGTATTGCACATATCCCGTGCTAAAAAAAAATTGTGTCCCAGCTACATTGCATCCGTTTGATTGTACAGTTGCGTAGAGAGCATGCGCCATGTGTAAAACGAAAAAAAGAAACACAAATGCCACAGAGCCTTGTAACACTCCTAAGACTTTAACATGAATCTATGCACATGTTCACAGGAAGCATATTATCTTATACGGTGGCATTGCGCGTAACTTCATTGCCTGTGTATAAATTTTTGTACCCTACTTTTAACAAAGTTGTAATTCATTTGTGTGCAGTCAATGGTATCTCAGTACAGTAAGAATGTTTCTAGAAGTCTGTATTATTAAGCATGTGTCTCCTGTGCTATTTTCATCCCATTTGAATTACAGTAGGTATCATTTTTCCAGCATAAATACAGGAAGAAATCTGGTACCATGTTTCGTATAAAATAAAAGATAAAGCCGAAACTTTAACCTCTTGGCTCACGAGGCGGAGTGCCATCTCTGGGGCGGATTGGAAGGCTGTTGGGGTGTTTGCCTCTTAACTCTCGCACAACAGGTCCCAGCATATGCCAGTACCCAATTGTAAGCCTACTCTTAATTCAAAGTTAAATAGTGCAAAGGTCCATATTTTTGTGTTTATCCTTTCCTGTCAGTTTATGCCAAATACTATAAAGTACCATCTTAGGAATATGAGTCAAATCTGACTCTTTGCAATTTATTTATTTATTTATTTAAACAATATTTTCTGAGGGTGGTTCATACAGATGGAGCTAATCATTAAGGACCATTAATACATATAACAAGAAACAAAGGAAATGAAAAAGTTTAAGTAAATAATTTAAAAAATTTTAAAAAAAATTAAGAAAGAATAACAAATTTAATATAACAATAAAATAACATGAATGAACAAAGAAATAAGTAACAAAGTATATATAAATTTTCTTCAATGAAAAATTGTTTATTGAATTAATAACAAATGAAACTGAATAAATATTAAAACCATCATAGCTATGACTACCAAATATTATATGATAATGACATTAAATTAAGAATATATAATGTGCTGTCTATCTAGAATAACATAATCAAATTTTATTTCCATAAATTATGATTTTACAGACTTGTTATTAGAATAGCTAAAATAGGTTATGTAATTGAATGATTATGTAATTTAATGATGTTTATGTAATTTAATGATTTTCTATAAATGTTCATTTAATTGGTGATATTTCCTATGTTGGACAACATAAATAGTACAGAGTTGAATTGTAGAGAATACAACAGTAATAATAGCGATAAATCATTTACTCCACATCAAAATATGATCAGTTATATCTCTGAAATGTTGGTTAGTTTACTAATAACAACACAAAGCATATTCTTCAAATGAGCTGAAGTCTGATATATTTAGATTATATTTAACAATTGTATTTAACTAAATACAAATAGATATATAAACAAAAAATAATAATAAATTAATAATATATAATACTTAAGTATATTTTAAAATATTAAAAATATATAAATTATGATTGATACAAGTATGTTTTATTGAACAATTAAACATAAACATTCTTCATTTTTTATTTGAATCATTTGTGGTTCTCAGGCTTGTTCATTATAGAATTTCTCTAGATTGCTTCTCATACAGTTAAGTTGATATTAATATGTATCGCTTGAATGGAAATTCGTCATCTGATTTGGAAGGCAGTTACTTCCTATCCTTCTATTGAAAACTTTAAATCTCAAATTTGCATAACAAGCGATCTAATGCAATGTGAATGCTAGGCAGGTGTGCCACACCTGTAAACTGGTCACATTTAGGTTCAGTGTGAATGGAGTAATTTAAATTTCCACCTGTTCAAGTCAATAATCCTGAATATTACTTTTAATATTCAATTTCTTAACAAATGAGAGAACTTAATGGTTCATTTTAGATTTTTTTTAAATGTTTAAATCTTAAGAAATACAATAAACATTTTAATCACAATTTCATATGTACAAACTTTAGAATTTTTCAATTAAAAAGGTTAAAATGGATGACTGAGATAATTACTGTTTTGAGGAAAATGAATCTGTCTTTCTGATTACCCAGTTTTACCTTGGAATCAGGCAATTATGAGGTAATTTCTGCGAACAATCAAGATTTATCAGTGACCTTTTCTCTTGAGTTCTAATTATATTCCATGGATTACATTCTTATTATGCCTGTAATTGCCAATTTGAAACACTCCTGGATGTATAAATAAAGTTAATGATGTAAGTGATAAATAAAGGGCCTTTGAATATATATATTTGAAAGTGAACTTTGTATATTTTTAGAATATTATGTAATTAATGTAGTTACCAAAGCAAATAGTATTTAAAAATTAAAATGTATGTTTGGTTAATTATGTTATTGAATTAGTATGTATTATTTTTTTATTTAATGGCATCATGTACATAAGAAAGATTAATAATATAGTG